ACGGCGCTCCGTGGTGCCGTCGCCCACTTGCATCCAGTGGTTGTCGCCCCAAACCCAGACCTCACCTGGCCGTTCTCCAAATTTTGAACGGTATGATTGGTCTGACTCTGGAATACTCTGGACATGTCAGGGTGAAGCTTCATCCATGTCTTCATCTCCATCCAGTTCACTTGGTCAGTTGAAGTTTCATGTCAAATCAAATCATCAAATCAAACTTCTTCACTGATTCAATCCACACAAAGCTTCATTTCATGCGCCTCGCTCACATTCCCACGCAGCCGTGTGGTGCCAGCCAGCAGCCACTCCAATAATATCGTTCTGAACAGCAGCTACAGAGACGCAGCAACAATCCAAAATCAGTGCAGTGACTGTGCAGTGACTGGCAATAGGCTTCTTGTGGCCACTGGCCTCATGAAAGACTTTTTGAGGAATTGCTCGATCTTCTGCGCTGGCCTTAGCGGATTTCTGTGCAACATGAGTCACTTTGCTCCGCTAAATTTGCGTGGAGTTTTGACATGTTTGAATCATTTTTGAATCACTTTTAAATCCATTTCTCGGTCCTTTCCACACTTCACACTCACTCTCTGCATCTCTGCATCCCAGGACCCGAATCATCGACCAAAAATTGGACGTCTGAGGTCCGACCTCTCAGTCCCTGGCATTGCCCAATTGGCCCTGGTCATTGGCACCCCAGGTGAGCACTTCACCTGGAGCAGTTGATGAGACCTTCCTTCATAATCTGCTACAAAAAACATCATTTACATTCATTTTATTTCATGTTCCACAAAAGATCATACATAAAGTGCTACATCTTTGATCCTGGCAAATTGCAATGGCCACTTCTTCCAGCAAACAAACGTAACATAACATGGATCGGTGATGAGGGTGGGGATGGGTGGGGATGGGTGGGCTATCCCGCCTGCTTTGGTCAGGGCGACGGAGTGTGAATGACCCGCTGCTATGGCAATCACCGGTGCAGCCATGTGAGTTTGCACCTGGACCTCGATCGAACGACATTCCACTTCGTGGGGCCGATCCACATGTCTTGAACATTGCACACTAAAATCAGCCAATATATCAATAGAGCTATATGAGCTATATGAGCTGAATGTCTGATTGCATGTGGATGATATATCATATATCCGGTATTGATATCATACATTCAATGTATATGGTATTGACATATCATCATCATCAGATCCAGATATTTACGGTATATAATACCTAAGAATTATAACCATATATATATACATATATAAATAATATTATATATATATAATATAATATATATATATATTATTATTATATATATTAATATGTATGTATGTATATATATATATAAATAATGAATATGAATATGTACATCTTCGACATATCAGCCACCGGACTGGGCTCGTCCTCAGCTCTGTCGTGCCATCGCCCAGCTGCCCTCGCGAATTGCAGCCGAAGGAATAGACCTGCCACGATAGAAAACCACTAACAAACTACTGTTTTTCACATACGGTAACTCCTGGCTGAATTCATAGAATATCCATAGAATATTCATGGACTTATTAAATCTTATTCCCCACATCACTGTGTGGGGTTCTTGTTCCCCACATCACTGTGTGGGGTTCTTGTTCCCCACATCACTGTGTGGGGTTCTTGTTTTTCGCTTGGATCCCGCCGGGGCGCCGCTCCGCCTCCTCCTTCGCCTCCTCCGCCGCCGCTCCCTCACTCACTCACTCACTCACTCACTCTCACTCACTCACACTCACTCACTCACTCTCACTCACTCACTCTCACTCACTCACTCTCACTCACTCACTCGCTCACTCGCTCACTCACTCACTCTCACTCAGAGGAGCTGCGGCGTTGCCTTTTGTGGGGCAGGTGCAGTACACAGAGCCTCCTGGCGGCTGCGGCGCGCGTGGCCGCCGCTGGCCCGCGGCTGCCTTTTGCGTGGCAGGCGGAGTATAGAGAGCCGCCTGCGGCGGCGCGCGGCTGCCTTTTGCTTGGCAGGCGCAGTACCCAGCCTCCGCGGATCCTTTTTGCGTGGCAGGCGCGCGTGGTCAGCAGACAGACATATCACATCATATCACATCATCCTCTTAGTCAGTCGCCTCATCGGACTCCAAACTCATCCCTTTCTATCTCTTTCTCCTTCCTTGCTCTCTCTGTCTCTCTCTCTCTCTTTTCCTCTCTTGGTCTGGTGCGTCATGGTACTTCGCTGGTGTTGCAGCTATTTCGGTTTCGGTCTGCGCTATCATGACGCGATGTAGGTTTGGAGCTCAGTACGTCTTTGTCGCAGTCATTCTCGCTTCTCCACGAGTTCATGAGAAGTCTGGTGTGACATTGTTGCTGTTTGTGTGCATGGTGTGACATTGTTGCTTTTGCTCCTGCTCCCGCCTCCGCCGCCGTAGACTTATCATCACCACTCATCACGGACCCACTTATCACATCACAACTTCTCATCACAACTCATCACAAATCATCACACCTTATCACATACCAAGTCATCACAGCTCCGATTCTCACGCCTCACTCATCACAGCTCCACTGCTCGTAACAACTAATCACAGCTCCACTTCTAACAGGTCCACTTCTCATCACACCTCATCACAACTTATCACAACCCAAATCATGACAGTTCCACTTCTCACACCTCACTTCTCACACCTCACTTATCACATCACAACTTCTTATCACAACTCATCACAACTTATCACATCCCAACTCATCACAGCTCCACTTCTCACACCCCTTCTCACACCTCACTTAACTTATCGCACCCGAACTCATCACAGCTCCACCTCTCACACCTGACATCACAAGTCCACTTCTCACACCTCACTTCTCACACCTCCACGAAGTTTACATTAACCTTAGATACATAAAGGCTTCACATGTGGGGTTATCCGGTCCTTTTATTTTTCGCTTGGATCCCGCCGGGGCTCCGCTCCTTCGCCTCCGCCCCCTCCTCCTCCGCCACCCACTCACTCACTCACTCACTCACTCACTCACTCACACTCACTCACTCACTCACTCACTCACTCACTCACTCATTCACTCACTCACTCACTCACTCACTCACTCACTCACTCACTCACTCACTCACCCACACACCCACCCACCAACCCACCCACCCACTCACTCTCTCACTCACTCACACTCACACTCACACTCACACTCACACTCACACTCACACTCACTCTCACTCTCACTCACTCACTCACTCACTCACGGCCGCGGCTGCCTTTCCCGTGGCAGGTCCAGTACACAGAGCCTCCTGGAGGAGCTGCGGCGCGCGTGGCCGCCGCTGGGCCGCGGCTGCCTTTCATGTGGCAGGCGCAGTACACAGAGCCTCCAGGAGGAGCTGCGGCGCGCGTGGCCGCCGCTGGCCCGCGACTGCCTTTTGCGTGGCAGGCGCAGTACACAGAGCCTCCTGGAGGCGCTGCGGCGCGCGTGGCCGCCGCTGGGCCGCGGCTGCCTTTCGTGTGGCAAGCGCAGTACACAGAGCCTCCTGGAGGAGCTGCGCCTCACACCATCTTTCAGACACCATCCTTGACACACCAACTTTGACACACCATCTTTCACACCACTTTGTCCCACACCATCTTTCACACACAGTTTTGTCACACACCATCTTGCACAAACCACTTTGTCACACACTATCTTTGACACACCACTTTGTCACACACTATCTTTCATATTTTCTCACACCATCTTTCACACACCACTTTGTCACACACCATCTTTCACACACCATCAACGCCATCTTTCACACACCATCTTTGACACCATCTTTCACACACACAACTTTGTCACACACCATCTTTCACACACCACTTTGTCACACACTATCTTTCACACACCGCTTTGTCACACACCATCTTTCACACACCATCTTTCACACACCATCTTTCACACACCACTTTGTCACACACTATCTTTCACACACCGCTTTGTCACACACCATCTTTCACACACCATCTTTCACACACTGCTTTGTCACACACCATCTTTCACACACCATCTGTGACACACCATCTTTCACAGCACTTTGTCACACACCATCTTTCACACACGTTACAGACCATTTTTCACACTTCATCTTTCACACACCACTTTGCCACACACCATCTTTGACATCACATCTTTCACACACACACACACCATCTTTCACACACCGCCAAAGACCATTTTTCACACACCATCTTTCACACACACCATCTTTCACACACCATCTTTGACACACCATCTTTCACACACAACTTTGTCACACACCATCTTTCACACACCACTTTGTCACACACTATCTTTCACACACCGCTTTGTCACACACCATCTTTCACACACCATCTTTCACACACTACTTTGTCACACACCATCTTTCACACACCATCTGTGACACACCATCTTTCACAGCACTTTGTCACACACCATCTTTCACACACATTACAAACCATTTTTCACACTTCATCTTTTACACACCACTTTGCCACACACCATCTTTGACACCAAATCTTTCACACACACACCATCTTTCACACACCGCCAAAGACCATTTTTCACACACCATCTTTCACACACACCATCTTTCACACACACCATCTTTCACACACCATCTGTGACACACCATCTTTCACAGCACTTTGTCACACACCATCTTTCACACACCGCCAAAGACCATTTTTCACACACCATCTTTCACACACACCATCTTTCACACACACCATCTTTCACACACAACTTTGTCACACACCATCTTTCCTCCACCTCTTCCTTTGTCTTTCCTTCCTGCCCCGTCCCCGCAACAACATTTCTTGCTCATTATTGGAAGAAGTTGACTTGATTTTTTGGGATGAATCTGCTGCAGTGTTTGGTCAGTTTTTTTTTCACAAATTGCAAACAACCACGGGGCGCATTTCAAAGCATTCCAAGCGTCCCAACATTCATCCAGATTCAAGATATTTCAAGATTCACAGCGCTAGGACATTTTCTGCACATTGTGAAACTTCACACAGATCTGTCCATCAGTTTCTTGATTTTGACAGTTTTGTAGTCTTGGTTCATACATAGTTTTTAAGATAGTTTAAAGATATACTTGGTGATGTGCATAAACATACTTAATTACTTAGTTTCTTGATATTTCTTGACGTTTTTACGTTTCTTTTACTCTTTCTACCGCAATTCTGTGGCACCTCTCCGGTCTTGGTCAAGAAGATGCTGTGAGAATATCCGCAGGCCACAGCAATGGCCCCGGTCTCTGCCGATGCCACCTGCACAACGTGATGGAACAACATGACAGGAACATTAATCAAATCAAAACCACTGAATTATAATTAATAGATTTTATTGTTCATGGTACATCCAAAATCAGCATCCAAACTCCTGGAATTGATGCATCAAGAATTCAGATTTCTTCTGATCTTGAGCCTCCACAGGTCGTAGGATGTTCTCAGCCGTTGACTCCCCGAAGAGTGTACTTTTGGCTCCCCACGCAACAACCTGCCGACAGCACACTCAACTGGAGTGCTTGCCGCAGCAATTCCACATGGCCGTTGGAACACGGACGTGGCCGTTATTCTCATGATTGTGCTGTGGATTGAAGCATCAGCAAGACTATGCTGACTTGCTGCAGTGAGAGTATGGTCCTTGCATGTCCTTGCTCTAGTTGCCTCTACAGTTTGTGAAACCCGTCCTCTCCAGTTGTGAGTGCTGCACAGCTGTGTAGCCATCCAGCTCCGACTGCGCTCCCTCCACTGCAAACGTGCACAGGCGAGCGGCGCGTCTCTGTGCTTCCGTCTCCCAACTGTCCTGGTGGCGGGTGGCGGGTGGCGCACGACCATTTTACGTCACCCTGGGAGACAAAACCAGTGGGTAAAGCTTACAGATAAACATCACAATGGAGTTTTATCATGTTTTTTCTGAGCAAATGTACCATGCTCTTCGACTCGACGTAAACGATGAATTCTCCAGGTCTGCTGACGTGATCATCTCTCGACATCGACAGGGTCCGACTCGGTCCTTGTTTGTTTTGACCCCAAGCAAAGATCTCGCCAGTAGCTGTGACCGCCAACGTGTGCCACCAACCTCCGCACAGATCATCTTCCGGGATGTTGGCCACATTTGGCCACAAGTTTCTTCAACGATATTCAACGTCTCTCGAAATCAACGACAATTTCGCAGCTCATAAATTCTCCTGCCTGCAGAGACGCTGACAATGTCACTAGCAATCGCCACAGCCGTCATTCGCGGCAGCACCGTGCCATCGCCGATTTGCCCAAATTCGTTGCCTGCAGCGGCTGGGGCCATGTTGAGCACATGCGGTGCTGAGCAGCTCTGTGTCCATCCCACAGTAGAACCATGTCAACAGTGAAACATAGTAGAACCATGTGGAAATCTAGAAAAAATTGAAGTTATTTTCTATTCATCAGTCAATAGGCATGTTCCATTCTCCCTCAACTTCGACGTCGCGACCTCCCCATGCCAGCAGTTCTCCGTCTCTGGTAACACCAAGGCTATGCCTCACGGCTGGTCATTTTGCTGGTCATTTCTATTATTTTCCGAACGGAAAAACCAGGGAAATTGGTTGAAACCAGTAGCGGTTGTGGCAAGTTGCTGCATGCCAGTAGCGAGGCCCACTAGATCGGCTTCAAAGACCTGTGACAGCAGTGGATACCAGCAGCCCATGTCCAAATCAGTGAATGGTTTGCCGTCCTATCATGTGCCAAATGGCATTTCAATCCATTGTTTATACGCACATTCCTTACATCTTTCAATTCATATTTCTATAATTTTCTATATGCTCCCGTTTTCGTCATAATTTAATAATTAAAAAAAAGTTAATATATGTTAATATCCTACCGATTGATCATACCTTCGAATTTTTCAACAATCTGTGGATTTTCAGCATCCAGGCCCTGGGGCCACTGGGGCCCTGGACTTTTCCAGGGCTGCGCGAGCTTCGAGTGCCATCTCCCAATTGACCACGGTGGTTGTCACCCCAACCGACCACGATGTTTCCATCTGTGCACGCCTGACATGTGGATTTTCACAGCCAGATAAATCACCATGCAACATAATACCTTAAAGCCTTAACAAAACGTGCATCTTCAGAATGTTCATAACATAAGTCTCTTCTGCTTCCTATTAGATCTATATTAGATTCGATCTACATTAGATTATTAATGATTATTAATGATGATCAATTAATGATGCTTATAGCTTTTTAGAAGCTCTTTTCCAAGGCTTATCCATGCTGAGGAAGTCACCAGACTGTGCTGCTGGCCCAAGGCAAGCATTGCTGTGGCAGCTCAATTCCCGGAGATTTTCGGATGGTCCGACCATTGCTGTCCGACCATCCCTTTCAGGCACTAGTCACTAGTTTCAACCAGATTTCACAAGTTTAAAAAGCGATTTCTCCATGATTTCTTGTTACTAGATGTTATCATACTTAGTAGTTGATGTGCTACCTGACACGTGATTTGAATGTGAATGTGTGCTAATTGATGGCACTAGTTGAATGTGAATGTTCTTCCTTCACGAGGTGGGTGCTATGTTCAACCGGGATCAAAGGAGCCAATGCTTCCAGCGGAACGCGCTATTGCATGGCAGCTCTTGAGCATCTGGCTGTTCGAGAGGAAAAGCACAGCTCCAGTCTTAGTGGCAGTGATTCAGCAATCCAAGGTCTCTAAACTTTCACAAACTCGATAGAATGTTCATCTTTAACTTTAAATCTGAAGCGATGAACTACACACTCACTTTTTCGCGGTCTTTAGCTCCTATCTGGAGTGAAACTTGCTCCCATGCGTCTAGTCTAGTTGGTGATACCGCTTGATGCACTCGTAATCGTCACCTTAGCAAGCCATTACAGCCATTGCACCTTTTATGCACGAGCTAAGGCAACCATTTCGAATCGTTTCTGCCCATGAGATATCCCGTTCAACAGGTAAGCTGACATGCACCGCTTTTTCAATGCAAAATGAAATTTCATTGATATCCAAACACTACAACACATCACCAAAACCTTTTTGGCTTTGATTTGGGTAGAGCATCCGTATCACCTTGTGAAACATGAAATGACACGGTATTGTATCACACCACTTATCCCCCAATCATCTTCTCTTTCAAGGTTTCATCTAGTAAAGAGTTTACGCAGAATCATATCAATAACATCAATCATATATAGATCATGCGAATCTGAGTCATGAGGCTTCATGACATTTCACGATCAAAAAAAACAATCTCCATGTCATGTCCATTTTTTGGTCGTTTCCATGTTGAAAAAACTCCCCTGTTGGATCCCCGACTTCTTCGCTGGGCGGGACCTCGCAGCAGGTGAGCTCCATTTGCTCCAGGCTCTCTATGTCCTGGTGACGACGGTCAAACATTTTCACTTTACCCGTGGCGACATCTCAAAAGAATGTCTTGAGGCAAGTCTTAAGGTCTTGGACATCTGGCTAATTCATGTTCATTCATAGGACATTCACATGCATCTGGATTATTCTGGTTTGAGGTTGTACCATTGTTTTCAGACTTCAAAGAGTTCAACATGGTTCAACATGGTTCAACATGGTTCAACCATGTAGTCAATCGTCATAACATCGTCATAACATCCATAGTCCATAGTTGGTGCATAGCTGGTGCAAGGTGCCTCTGCTTCACAAACGATCTCGAGGAATGATATGTCCTTTGACAATGTCAAACAGTGTCGAACATGAACCTGTCTTTCAGACATCGGTAAGAATGACTCTAGTGATCTGTTACTGGACAAGTTGAACATAGTTCATGATGTTCATGTATGTTCATATTATCATGGGATTCTTCAGCATTTTACCGATTTTTTTCCCCGGCCTTCTGACGATCTCTGGCAACATCGGAAGGTTTTTCTGGCGCATAGAGCCCAGCCTTGAAGGAAGTTGCGGTCCAGTGATTTTGGATTTTGTGCTGCGATTTTCAATCCACGGATGGGAGGATGGGATGTTCTCAAAGCTGTGGTGCTTACCATGCGTAGAGCGCGGTAAACACGCCAACCTTAGCCACGCCAGAGCAGGCCTTTTGTTCAAAGTAGTTCTCTGGAAAGTATTATCATGTTCCACACTGTTGGAAGGGACGGATCACTTTCTTGCAAAACCTCAGATTTTGAAACTCATCATGCACCGCATTGGACGCTTCTTTAACGATATTTAAAGCCTAAGATAGTTTTGCCACACTTGTCTTGCTCCCGAATCTGGGCACAGGGCTAGAAGCACAAAGAGCTGTTTGCAGCGCAACGGAGGCCAAAAGAGCCCACTGCGCAGCGGTAGCGGCTTATAAAACACTATCCTCCTGTGGTCCTATGGTGGTCATATAGTCACATATATATGGTCTCAAGGCTGGAGCTGGAAATTTGCAATCTGTGGCCTCCCAAACTCCAACCATAGCTTCAAGGACATCCAGCATCCTGTCCAAGTTGTCAAAATCAATCCGTTGGAGGCCCGAACAACTGGATACTCAGAAAATCTCAGAAAGACATGCCACATCATGCCACTGTTGAAACAAAATAAACAAAGAAATTCAGAGAAAGTCATGACATTTTTGAAGACATCTTTTCAGAGCTACCAGTCAAGCTTTCTGCTCTGGGGACTGGCCATCTTATGCTGAATATGCTGACCATGCTGGATTCTTGGGGTTGCAAACATGTCGAAAAAAAATAAAAAAGACTGGTAAGCCATACCATGACTGGTGTCAGATCTTGGAAACCACAAATTTCCCCTGAGATTCATTGAGTGATTTGGTGATAGGATATGATTTTCATAGTTTCAGTGATTTTGGGCTCTGCTGGCGCACGATCTGGATCCAGGAGCCAACGGTCTTGGTGTGGCAACCAGCATGTACCTGTCGACAGAACACCATGGCAATCCGTAGTGCCACAGGAGTGCCACAGGAATATCAATTTGATCTTTCAGGAGAAGCTGTCGCAAAGCCTGCGTTCCCTATGCCAACGGACAAGTTGCCATTCAAAAATGTCTCCGTCATCAAATGTCGATGTCTCAAGATTCTCCATAGTGTCCAGGCCATTTTCCGTGGGCACGCGCAAAAGGCACTGTAGTCCACTAAAGACATCGCGAAAACCTGAGATGTTGATGCTGATCGGCCAGGAGCCTAGCAGTGATTGTTTCAAATTTCAAACGAAAATACATCATAGCACCATGACCACTAGAATTATCATCTCGAATCCTGAAAATGAATGGACATGACATGAAATCACAATTTCTCGGAAGAAATGACAAAGAAACAGGTACATTTACAGGAAATACCAGGAAACTCAGCCTGAGGTCTGAGCCAAAGTCAGCATGGGTCCCAAACACCCCTTCTGCACACAAGCTCCTCATCTTCGAGCGTCAGATCTTGTTTTCGGTCCAACTTTCACGAGCCAGCTGCCAACAGATTACTTCAAAATGTGAGGTGTCATTGCATCATGCATTGCATCATGCATATCATGCATATCATGCATCATATTGCATCATATTGGATCATATTGGATCATATTGGATCATATTGGATCACAGGAAGACTTCTGTCGACTCTCCTCGTGTGCCGAAGGCGAACAAGGGAAGGCTGCACACAACACAAATCACATCGGACCTCGCGGCTCTGGAACCAGTCAGAGACAGTCTCCAGGATTCTCCAGGAACATTGTCCGAAACACCGAGTTCGTTTCATGTTGCATAGGTCCGTAGGATGTCCCTAGATGTACTCGTTTGTGGTTCAGTTTACCAGGAGCCGAACGAGGTTGTGAGAAAATGCATCGCATAGACCTGGTCGAACTTCATGGAATTTCATGGGCCATGGCAATGCCACTTCAAACGAATCAAACCCGAAACACCAGTGGCGATGAGGCGATGAGTGGCGTGCTGAATATCCTGGGACATTGCCCTGGAGGACAGCTGCAGTGCGGATGAGGGCAAGTACCTGGGCTGGGTGCAGATTGAAGGTGAGGATTTTTGAAGATTTTTCAGGATGGACACACATATCATGAATCATGAATATCTATCAGAATCTATCAATCTGGATATTTGAATATATTATAAATTATAATAACATCTTCATAAATTATTGCCATACTGTGAGAACTGGTCAGTTCACAACATATCACCAAATCTCCCAGATCATAGCCAGGACACATCCGAATCTTCCATGTTTTAATTAGAACCAAACAAGAAGCTTCTTCACCTCAGCCCTGCTACAAAGCGACATTGAATCAGCAGTGTTTTTCAACAAACATCTGCATTTGCTGTGACTCTTCGCTACAATTTCAAGTGTCGCGGCGCACCAAAAGGCCAACGATTGCACACCTGAACATCAACCGATTGTTGGGCCAACGCAGAACATCTTTCAACCACCACCCGATGAATCTTGGATCCTTCCCAACTTGCCTCCAATGAATCATGGGACGTTCGATGAAGCTTGCCACCTGCCACAGCATGCCATCTAATCATTACGTTGACAAAATTGAAAACACTATAGACATTCTTTGGCTATTTGGATTGAACATTTTTATACATTTTTCAGTTCTTCCGTGTTCATCTCCATGTTCTTCCTATGTTTCACATTGGTTCAGTCTCACAGAGTTCGAAACCATTCGAAACCGTCCACAGCCGCAGCAGCGCGATGCGGCGCCTTCGCATGTGCGATGCGCAAGCGACTCTCCAGGGCTCGCCGCCGTGCAGTTCGATCAGAGGGGAGCTCGCCCACGAGCCTGGCGTTGCCGCGCCGGAGAAATGTACTGCAGATTAATGCAAATTAATATGAAAGATTATGAAAGATACGCAATAGATACGCAAGATCAAGATAGATCAAGATATGCAGGTTCCAGCTGTAAGCCAGTTTCAGGACTTAAACAGCAACACTGCCAGTGACACTTCTTAGGTTGTTGAAATTTGTTGAATAATGTTGAATGCACTGCAAATGTCGCCTTGGCAGGTTCCTGGGTTGTCCCTCGCTGTCGATGTCCCTTAGATCAGCTGCGACTGCACACATTTGCACTCCCTTCACCAGACTTGTTCCGGACTTGTTCCAGACTTGTGACTTTGACTGTCACAGCTTGGTTGATCTTCAAATTGATCTACGGCTGCGACTGATCGGCCTCGCAAAGTGGAGACCTAGAGCTACGACTTGTAGCAAAGAGTCAAAGAGCAAGATTACTTCTGCCTGTGCCATGATCAGATTCGGCTTTGGATGTTTGAGAATCCGCGGTTTCAACTCACCAAGGTGTAATTACCCCCGTGCTCGTTTGTGTAGTTTGGCTAGTTTGGGTAGTTTCGGTCAGCGTATGTAAGTGGATACATAGTGGATACTATTCCAAAGCTATTCCATATACATTCCATGCAGCACAGGCACCGTTCTTCCTTGCCTTGCATCATCCTGGGGATCGGATCGTCAGGTCGTGATCGAAGGTAGACCATCGCCCTCTCATGCCTTTATGATCCTTTATGATACTATATTATACATTAATATTGACTATAATGCTCTTGAGTTTTGAGTTCTTCCAAACTTCCGTTTGATATTTGAGAAGATTCTCCAAACTGAATATGCCGAATGATGATCATTGTTTGCGGAAATCAGCCCTGATGTGACCTGGCCTTCCAAGTGGTGGCACAGGAGCACCTGCCTGTTCCACAAATCTCCACATCCGCCAGATTTTTGGTGCCAAATCCGGCCGAATCCGCCAACTTTCAGAAATCCGATGTCGAACACTATCTGATCAGATATGACAACTTCCAAATTTCAACTCTGAACAATATTGAATACATGTGTACATCATTATACATCATTATACATCATTATACATCATTATACATCATTATACATCATTAAACATCTTAATCATCTTGACCTCAATTACCAATATCTTGAGGTCAGAAACAAACACAGTATCAATATACCTTGGTAGCACATGCTGCAACTCGGCGTTGCCTCGATGGCCGTCAACAGGACCATGTTTCCTCAGTGACAAAGATGCCGTCAACAAAATGACAACTTCTGTTGCAATATCTATACGGCCTATATACAGCCTATGCCAAATACATCCAAATACATTGTGAAACAGTTTCAACTGGGCTCAACTTTCAAATTCGATACATCTAATGCCAAAGATCGAGGCTCTGACTGGGGACGGCAAAAAATGAGTTCTATGTGAAACGATTTTTGTGTTCGTCCCAAAAAAGGTGGTCACTGTCTGCAGTCACTGTTTGTTTTCCTCTGCCACATGACGTACATGACTGTGTTTGGTGATCAAAATGCTGGCACATATCCAATATGTTCTATTGATTGTCCATTGATTCCATTCCGTTTTCAAAACAATCACCATGATTTGAGGTTTGATCCAACCTGCTGCGACAAGGTCCAGGTATTTAGATTCAACCTTGGAAAGCAACTGAGTACTTGGGCCCCTTGGGCCCCTTGGGCCCCGGTCCTGTCAGGCAAACAACGCGGTTATATCTTCAAAAACTGGAAACAATCTCGAAGTCTTTTCAAATTATGATATATCATGAAAATCTGGATTCACAACAATGAAAACTCAAATTCCACCATGGATTGTTGGTTTGACATTGATCGTTTCCCTTTCTGTGTCAATTTTTTCGCTGCGCCCAAAGTGCATCATTGGCTCTCGGTTCTCGTCATTTTCGGCCTGTCAAAGTGGCGGCAACCGTTTCCCCCCGACAAAACTGGTAAAAACTCGAATGCTGATGTGCCAACCGAGTGAGCTTCCAAACTTGGAGAGTGTTGAATCATGCCATGCAAGCGGCAACCCAGCTACACCAGTGCAATCCCCAAAGGGTGGGTTTTAATCTTAATTCAATCAGATTTTATCATTTTGCTTTTGAACAAACTATTGGACTTCATCCTACAAGTCTCATGGGCGCAGCCTGCATACAATTGCATCCCGGGCCTCTGCACTGGTAGACGAAGCAAACAACTCATCTTAGAGGAGAGTGTGAACGCGGTGCATCACGGTGCATCACGATGCATGTTGAGTTCAGCAGGTTGACCTGGAATGACGTGAAGGACCTGAAAGCCTGAAGGCCATTCTTCTGGGTGAGAACGAGACTCCACACTCCACTCCGCCTGGACTTCTTTCGACATCTCTTGCGTCTGGTTGTGCATGGATATCCAGGACACCATGCATTCAACACCATAAGGGAAGTGATCTGGATTTCATTGCGTGTGATAAGCGTGAGAAGTGGACGAATCAATGAAGATCTATGAGGTTGTCCCGAGAATACACCAGGTGGCACAAAGTGTGGCATCGTGTTGGCTGCAAGACTGTCTGAGTTAGCACCCGAACGTGGCTGCAGTTCGCCGAGCCTCTGTGCTGTTCGGGGCTTGTCCTAAGGTCCTAAGGTCGTCCTAGCAGCTTTGGAGTGAACCCGCTCAAACAGAAGTGTCGCCTAGGGTTGCCAGGCTAAGAGGCTTCTGCGCTTCAATTTGTCGAAACATTTGATGTCATTTCGTGAAAGCCTATCAGGCAAAGGGTGCCGCCAATGCATTTGCCACACATCACAAATGGGTTGAACTGCCAGTCATTCGTACGGCAACGGGGAAGAAAATTCCTGATTGCGTACACGCATGACTGTACCATAAGAAAAAACATGTGGCCAACAGTAATACGGCATATATTTTACATCTTTATTTCATTTGGGATGTATATCAAGTGGCACAGGGCAAGACTTGTATTGCAAGTGCATGGTATGACAGAAAGAGGCGATCCAGGGATTGTACACCTGATGCAACTTCTTATCAATGCACCTGACTCGATCCTGACAATCCATGAGCAGTTTGACACTCCGACAAAGGAAACTCTGCCAGACATGGCTTGGTGAAAATACCATATCGACCAGGACATCTTAATGAAAGCTTATAACCTCGACAAGACAAATAACGGCCCTTCAGCACCCGGCTATGCAGCTCACTTTGGCATCTAAATTGCAAGCCTTGTTGCGATCGGTTGCACCATACTGGGCCAATAGTCATGCAGGGCTGGCCGTAGTTTCGGGCCTCCCCAGCCGGAGTAGAGCAATATGGTAACATCCGTTGGGAAGGGGGTGGTGCTAGCCCTCCTCCCAACTTGGCAAATCCCTGAGCTGTAAAGAACACAAGCTGAGTGGAAATCCAAACGTACCTGCGAAAGCCACCTCCAGCTCATATATCTCACATCAGTTCACATTCCTGACCTGAATTTCTTTACCCTGGAACATTTTGAAAAGTGTTTCAAACCTCTGTGTTCTGCTTCTACTTTTACGTGTGAATGGGCGCTATGAGCCGGCGTGCCCCAAGCAACGCAGCATCTAGAGAAATCCTGCCAATTTCCCTTTGAAACTGCTTCCTGTAATGCAAGCAATATACTGACCACTGATTGCTTCAGATGCCTGCAGGTACTTCGATGTGTGGAAGCAGTTAGTCCTCAATTTGGCACCTAAATTGCAAGGCTTGTTGTGTCCAATCGGTTGGACCATATTGGGCCAATGGTCATGCAGGGCTGGCCGTAGTTTTGGGCTTCCACCCCAGCCTGCAATGGAGTGGCTTAAATGGGGGTTGTCCACAATTAAATCACCTGAAGACTTCTCTTGAGCAACTCTTGAGCAAAACTTGTGGGAAGCTTCCGCCACCGAGCGTCGCGCTTTTATAGCAACACTTTCAAGCAACTGAAAGTGCATACTGCGCATACTCTCCGAAATGCTAGAGGCAAACCTTGGACACTTGTGAAAAACTTTGTTTGATGTAGGTTTCACACCACAACAAAGCTGATGAAAAATGCCGTTGTGTGGGTTTCAGGAAGGTCGTCCTAGCAGCTTTGGAGTGAACCCGCTCAAACAGAAGTGTCGCCTAGGGTTGCCAGGCTAAGAGGCTTCTGCGCTTCAATTTGTCGAAACATTTGATGTCATTTCGTGAAAGCCTATCAGGCAAAGGGTGCCGCCAATGCATTTGCCACACATCACAAATGGGTTGAACTGCCAGTCATTCGCACGGCAACGGGGAAGAAAATTCCTGATTGCGTACACGCATGACTGTACCATAAGAAAAAACATGTGGCCAACAGTAATACGGCATATATTTTACATCTTTATTTCATTTGGGATGTATATCAAGTGGCACAGGGCAAGACTTGTATTGCAAGTGCATGGTATGACAGAAAGAGGCGATCCAGGGATTGTACACCTGATGCAACTTCTTATCAATGCACCTGACTCGATCCTGACAATCCATGAGCAGTTTGACACTCCGACAAAGGAAACTCTGCCAGACATGGCTTGGTGAAAATACCATATCGACCAGGACATCTTAATGAAAGCTTATAACCTCGACAAGACAAATAACGGCCCTTCAGCACCCGGCTATGCAGCTCACTTTGGCATCTAAATTGCAAGCCTTGTTGCGATCGGTTGCACCATACTGGGCCAATAGTCATGCAGGGCTGGCCGTAGTTTCGGGCCTCCCCAGCCGGAGTAGAGCAATATGGTAACATCCGTTGGGAAGGGGGTGGTGCTAGCCCTCCTCCCAACTTGGCAAATCCCTGAGCTGTAAAGAACACAAGCTGAGTGGAAATCCAAACGTACCTGCGAAAGCCACCTCCAGCCCATATATCTCACATCAGTTCACATTCCTGACCTGAATTTCTTTACCCTGGAACATTTTGAAAAGTGTTTCAAACCTCTGTGTTCTGCTTCTACTTTTACGTGTGAATGGGCGCTATGAGCCGGCGTGCCCCAAGCAACGCAGCATCTAGAGGAATCCTGCCAATTTCCCTTTGAAACTGCTCTCTTTGAAACTGCTTCCTGTAATGCAAGCAATATACTGACCACTGATTGCTTCAGATGCCTGCAGGTACTTCGATGTGTGGAAGCAGTTAGTCCTCAATTTGGCACCTAAATTGCAAGGCTTGTTGTGTCCAATCGGTTGGACCATATTGGGCCAATGGTCATGCAGGGCTGGCCGTAGTTTTGGGCTTCCACCCCAGCCTGCAATGGAGTGGCTTAAATGGGGGTTGTCCACAATTAAATCACCTGAAGACTTCTCTTGAGCAACTCTTGAGCAAAACTTGTGGGAAGCTTCCGCCACCGAGCGTCGCACTTTTATAGCAACACTTTCAAGCAACTGAAAGTGCATACTGCGCATACTCTCCGAAATGCTAGAGGCAAACCTTGGACACTTGTGAAAAACTTTGTTTGATGTAGGTTTCACACCACAACAAAGCTGATGAAAAATGCCGTTGTGTAGGTTTCAGGACGGCTCTCAAATGGTGACATCCGTTGGGAAGGGGGTGGTGCTAGCTCTCCTCCCAACTTGGCAAATCCCTGAGCTGTAAAGAACACAAGCTGAGTGGAAATCCAAACGTACCTGCGAAAGCCACCTCGAGCTCATATATCTCACATCAGTTCACATTCCTGACCTGAATCTCCTTGCCTGCGGACACATCAATGCTTGGAACAGTTTGGAAACTGTTTCAAAAAACTTTTGGCTTCTACTCTTGCAAGGTGTGAATGGGCGCTGTGAGCCGGCGTGCCCCAAGCAATGCAGCATCTAGAGGAATCCTCCCAATTTCCCTTTGAAACTGCTCTCTTTGCTTCTTGCGGCAGAAGCAATATACTGACCCATGATCGCTTCACATGCCTGCAGGCTTGCCTTGCAGCAAACATGACTTCGTAAATGCAAGGAATTGCGAGGAGACTGCGGGCCAGATTTTATACGGAGGCATAGTAAAAGATAGGGGGTGCATCTTATCTGCACTTCCTCAAGATTCGCACAACATCCATTCCAATCAAGTGCTGTCCATGAGGTGACGCAAGAAATGACTGGAAAAATGCGATCTCAAAGCCGGCCAAGAATTTAATTGGACGGCACCTGGAATTCGGTTAGCCTGAATACTCCTGGACCTTCTAAAATGCATGTCCCGAAGGGCCTTGACAAACGGCCTTGTAGCTTCAATAAGAACTGCCATCAATAGGATTGGGATAGGATTGGGTTTGATTCATGTTGTCTTTTGGTGTCTCTTCCCGAAATTGGATCAAACGATCTATGCATCTTTGGTTTGTGGCATTTGACGAAAATTGCTTTGTTGAAATCTCTGAGGCTCATCATGCATTGCCGCAGTCCTTGATCAAATACCAGTTCAAGGTCTACCGACAAGTTGGTCGCAAGGAAATCAGCAGTCGGAGATTTTGCTTGATGTAGTTCAAGAGCCAAAGCCCTTTGAACCTTATCAAACAGCACTTCAAACCTGCTTGGATTTAATGATTTCTGAAGGATCTTCTATTAAAAACCTCGCACTTGGCTGGCCTGGGCCTTTGTCTCTTTGCTGCGAAGAGGTGTCATCGATCAGTCATGACATTGAAATGTGGACGACGCTGTGGCATTCTCAAAAGACTCTGTTTCTGTTTCTCCAAAATCCCGGGAGGGCGGGGGGGGACAAAACGAAGCTGTCGAATTCCATTTTTTTTTGCTTGGAAACCCTGGGATAGTATCCAACCCCTCAAATGGAATTGTAAAGTAACATTTCTTAACAAGCCTTGGGCACTGGTTAGAAAATACTTGCGTTTAGATCCGGAGGAGCTAAGCGCAAGTATGATGACGGCGGTGCAATTTTTGGAGGGATGCCATCCCTACATATGTGCTGCTTCAGTCTGACATGTGCTTAGCTCCTCCGGAGCTAAGCGCAAGTATTTAATCTTCATCTGCTTGCCCATGACATGGAATGATGAGGCATATTGATCATTGAGAAAGCATGATTGCAAAAATGGAATTTTAAAATGAAATTTCAGTACGACTCCCCCTCAAATTCCATTTTTAAGAGGGTAGGGATTCTCGTCCAACTCAACATGAGACAAATGACTGGCACTCCTCACCCCAACAACCTGGCCTCCATGTGGGAAAAAATGTGTTTGACCCTATGAGGAAGGCACGTGGAAGAGCCAGCTGCCCTCCCAACTGAAAACAAATTCTCAAATCGCTTCGAAAAGGTGCGGACTTGGGAGGAGTGCCGCACTATCACCATGCATTGTGTGCCGTGGCCCTCGAATTTTCTTGGCCCCCAAAAACCAATCTTGCTCATGAGTGGTTGGCTGTGTCGAAGAGTTCAAGGTCTACCAACAGCCAGGTTGCAAGGAAAACAACTGTCTTGCAACAACACCACAAAAACACGGTCTGGGGAATCTTCTTTGGCTTACAAGCCAAGGCCCATGCGTTTTGATTGCGGCACCTAACATCCGAAAAAAGCTCTGGAGGCTCTGGCCGTCAGTTCTAGGACTTTGGACTGCTTAGTAAACCACCTAGACGGTCTGAAATCAGGGCGGGGAATGCTTTGTTTGGTTGGTTCGTGACTGAAAGCGCCACAGAGAGCTCTTGCATACCTGGGAGCTCCAAATGTATGGAAGTTTTTGCCGATTTAGGATTTCGGCAGAATTTTCAGATTTCGCTCTTAAAAACGGCTTTCGGCGGAATTCCATCATTGTAGACCAATTTCGGCAGAATTGATTGTTGAATGCTTGCCCCAGTAAAGTCAAAAAAAATGTCGGCAGATTTCGGCGGAATTGCCCGCAATTTCGGCGGAATTACCCGGACTCTGCACAGCTGATGAAAACCCCATTTCGGCAGAATTGAAAATTGTCGGCAATTTTATCTGTTTTCGGCAGAAATTTTAGAATTCGGCGATTCCTGTGCTGAAATGTAATTTCGGCAGAAGTTCCGAAAAAGGATTCCCCAGGTATACCTGCATCTTCAATAAGGTGCTAAATTTCTGCCGTTTGCTCGAAAAAAATGTTTTCCGAATGAACGACCGTTTTTTTGCGGAACGTTTTTTTTTGATATTTTCCAAATACTTTGATTTTGCAACGGTGAGATTGCCTGACCAAACGGCGACATTACCGATCACATGGAGGGACTTTTGTTACAACATCCCTACCCCTGTAAAGGGGGAGGGCGGGGGGGGGGGACAAAACGAAGCTGTCGAATTCCATTTTTATTGCTTGGAAACCCTGGGATAGTGATCCAACCCCTCAAATGGAATTGTAAAGTAACATTTCTTAACAAGCCTTGGGCACTGGTTAGAAAATACTTGCGCTTAGCTCCGGAGGAGCTAAGCGCAAGTATGATGACGGCGGCGCAATTTTTGGAGGGATGCCATCCCTACATATGTGCTGCTTCAGTCTGACATGTGCTTAGCTCCTCCGGAGCTAAGCGCAAGTATTTAATTTTCATCTGCTTGCCAATGACATGGAATGATGAGGAATATTGATCATTGAGAAAGCATGATTGCAAAAATGGAATTTTAAAATGAAATTTCAGTACGACTCCCCCCCCTCAAATTCCATTTTTAAGAGGGTAGGGATGTTACAACGGCATTTTTTTTGCAAAAAAGACTTTTCTTTACAACGACAAAATTTGATGTCTCTTGGAGCAACGGCGGAAAAAAGTAGCACATGGAAGATGTAGGTATCAACCACGGGCTACTGTTCACTGCAGCCCTTGGTACCAAGGTCTAGCATTGTGTTGTGCAGCTTGTAGTTCACATTGATTCGGCCTACTGGTGCTTCAATCGGCCTTGGAGCCACCAGCGCGAACATCACTCAGAGCAAAAAGGTGCTAGAAACGATCATGACAGAACCACCTTGTCACATTGTCACCTTTCTCTGACAGTCTTGTGATCTCTGTGATCTCGAAGGGCATTGTGAAAGCGCTGGAGGGGACCTAATGGGACCTAATGGGGCCTATATTGTCGGGTGTGCGAACTGATGTCTCTTACCAGTGCGAACTGACTTTCTGTTGGATGTTGACAGGCGTTGGATTTGGAAGTTCCTAAAATGCAATTGGGATCAATTGGGCATTGCCAATCTGACTTTGCACAGCCGCAAGGGCCTAGATTCATCCAAGCAGAATCCTTGTCGGCGGCTGAGTTGACAAACGCCTGCACTGCTGGATGAGCACAAAAAGCAGATTAGCACCTGTTTTGGAAGTTCAATGTGCCAAGGATTTGTCTGAAAACTGCACGGTGAACACATGCTGCTTGTGGGTATACTTCAAGAGCACATTCGCCGCTTTTGTGAGGCAGAAGTGGCTGGCAATGTATAAGGTTGAAGTCAGTGCTGTCGGCACTCCGCTCATCGGCCCTCAAGTGACTTTACTCAGATTATTAGAGCATCTGCATTCACTGCATTTTCGCTGTCCTCCCAAGGGCCAGAATAGGGCCGGACTGCAAGGGGTTCCTTTTAGTCTTTTAGTTTTGATGGACCCTCTTTTATTCTTTTTGCCAATTTCTCTGGCACAGAATTGGCAGATTTCATAACTATCAAAGCGCCGGCACCTGAAAGCTTTTGAAGTTTATTGAAGAAGCAGAATCTTTGCAGGCGACTGGGACCATGAGAGAGGCCTGTACCGCTCAATGAGCACAAAAAGCAGATCAGCACCTGCTACAGAAGTTCAACGTGTCACAGATTTGTTTGAGAATTTGAGAACTCTCAGCATCCAGCCGCACACAAGGACGCAAAGTCAATGGATTGTGCCAGTGCAGCTTGTGCAGCTTGCACAATCGAAGTTGGCACAGCAAAGTGAACAATGTCCAGCTTGCGGGTCGGGTCCGAATCTGGCGAGTCTGGGTGGCTGGCAATGTATCAGGTTGAAGTCAAGGTCGACAGGCCTGATGGCCATCAAGAGAAGTTGGCTTGATGGACCTCTTGCAATTTAGTGGCTCTTGAACCACAGATCCAAAGGGTGTTTTCATGTGGTTTGAAAATCGTAGCCGGACCGTAAACCAGAATCGTTGCTAAACTTGTTGCGGCCTTGCTGTGATACATCTTGGGTGAAGTACTGAAACCCCTTGAAACCCTCAACAAGTGCATGAACTGATGCAGGTGAGAAGGCCTTCCAACATTGAACCAAACCGTTTGTACCTAGTACTTAAGACCAAAAGAACCGGAAGCTGGTGCTGTTATTTTGCTGTGCGAATGAATACTCTGATGCAAATGCAACGGTCAGCACCGAGTGGCTTTCAACCCAAGGCTTTGTTGGATTGGGTGCAACATGGTGCAACTTGGGGCATGGAATGGCCACTGCAAGCACTGCAATCTGTGCAACTTGACAGAACCGCTCTTTTCGGCCTGACGTGCGAGGCTGGCGAAAAGGGATTTCATCGACTTGGCAGACAGCCTCTCTTTTACACTAAGCAGTTTCAGCAGTTTGTGCAGTTTGAGCAGCTGACAAAAAAAACTGTTTGCCCGACAAGCCTGCATGTGTGCAAAGATCTGAGCCGGACTAAACTTGGGGGAAACTGCCTTGTGGAAGGACAGATTTTCAATCGAGATTCTAGCACTGCTCTATTCTCTCTACCATCTACTGGAATGCAATGAGCAAACGGCCCCGTGGGCAAGGAGGAAGCAACAGCACGAGTTGTACGAAAAGAAGACTTGCGGAAAACTGGCTTGTGCAGCGTTCAAAGGCTCTAGTACGGCTCCATTCTCCGCACTATTTACTGGAACGCGAGGA